GTCTGGGTCCACTAAACAGAACCACTGCCTTTACTAAAGAACCCTTGAAGAACCTTTTTAAGTGTGTGTGAACACCAGCTATTTTAAAACTCTTTAAAGCTAGTTAATGCACCAACACTATTTATTACCTTCTACAGCTAATTTCCTCTGGACATCTTTGCTGTAGCTTGAAGTGAACATTAGCCGTATACGTCACACAGCTAACAGCAGCACTTCAAAGCCGTACTTTAGTCCATGTTTATAGATAACAGTGTGTTATAAACTACACAATCAAGTCTATTAGAGACACTGAACACCTCCACACGCTTTCAGGCTTGGGTAATGATCTAAGCATGCAGTTAGCTATATGCTAACTCTTGATGCTATTAAGCTTCCATTAGCTGTTAGCTACATTAGCCTCATAGCGCCAGCAAAGCTAACATCAAACATGTCTCGGCTGATCGACCGTGTTTGGGGTAAGAAGGAAAAAGCTGGTTAACTTCGAGTTTCTATTAGTTATAAAGATCAGAAAGAGCTACATATATAAACAACACTAAGAAAAGATATAAAAACATTGAAGGGGAATTCCACCCATTTTTCAAAGCGTATGAGATGTAAACAGAGAGATTCAGAGAGGTTTGGTGTGAAATGGTTCAGATGTCTTTACAGTGGTGGTGATGGGAACCAGGGGTCGCCATGACTACAACACAAATATAGACATTTTATTTACTATTCAGAACCACCCGTGAACCTACACAAGTCTTCTGAGTTTATATGGAATGTTGAAGATAGAAAATAGTGGAAAATCTGAAATAATATGTTTTCTTTGGGGACTATTTTGCCTCACAGCGCCCTGCATATTATGTATCCCTCCACCATGAATGGAGTCTGAGTTTTATATGGAATGTTGATGATGGGAAAATAGCGAAAAAACAGACCATGAATGACCATAAATCCACCATGAATGGATTTTAAGGCCAAAATCTTCTCAAAACGATCATAAAACAGTGTCTCAGTCATCAGGCAGTGAATTCATAACTATTTCATGTAATAACTTAATGTGAGGGAGCTTTTAGAGGTGGACGTCTGGTTCCTATCACCACCACTGTAAACAATTCTGACTCAGTAAGTTTCTATAGAACAGAGCGTTTCACACCAAACCACTCTGAACAGCTCTGTTTACATCTTAATCATTAAATTAAGCAGGAATTTTGAACAAATCTGTGGAATTCCCTTTTTAGTGGTCCATAGCTTTGGGGATCTCTAACAGCACCCCTTGAATATCCAGCATGCTGGCTGGATTGGGCTGATCATCGAGGTAACGGTGGGGCTCTGGAGGCGTTTCTAAGCGAGGTCCAGCTCTCTGCTCTGAGTCTTTGAGTCTGTAGAAATGAGCCGTCCTCTGTAGACATTTTGCTCCACATTTTTGTTCTATCCCACCTCCAAATCTCCGAGTGGTAGGTTTGAACGGTCCCCATCATCCAGTAATGGTGCATCTGGGCGTCCTCGTCAGCTTGTAAAGTCACAGTTCTAACTACCAGTTATTTAAATTTGAATGGTTATTGGAAACTGCGGCAAGGATGGACCAATGACATCACCTGCAGCAAAACTTGCACGGCTTTCCAACTCGTAATTCCACTCGGAAAGAGCTTCTGTAGTCTCAGTCTCAGATGCTCCGCCCACATGTACACAAAGCATCTAATACTTGTAGGAAGCTAAGCTGACCACAGCTATAAGAATTTTGTGTGTTCTGTTTTCATTGGCTATCCCCATATTCATGTGCATGTACTTCTGCATAGCGGTTTTCCATCCGATTGGAAAACCACTTTCCAAGTTTCCTGGTTTTCCATAGCAGTGTGATACTTTCAGAGTCGCTGGACTGAAAAATAGTTTGTGAACCACATTTTTTAAGATATTGAAAGTTTTCTTTGTAGCTCTCGAACAAGATATCCTCACGTTCACCGATGCAAATGTATTTGTTTCTACCGGGTGTGTTTTTGTTGTAGCATTTGGAAAATCGCTGCCCCAACACGTCACACAAAAACCAGCTGGCCTGCAGTTTGTGATTTTCAAGCCATTCAAATGTTTTTTTCCTGTCAAACTAGGCAGCTCTTCATCACGTTGAACTATAAAATGCTCCAGACTCCAGTTTTGCAAGACTAGAGCTTCCGTGAAATTCCGTGGCGTTCAGGATGAAGCAAAAACAGGAAAAAATATTTTGTGTTTTAAGGTTTTTAAGTGGACTTTTACATGGTGTAAAAAAGAATAAAGATCCCAAAGCCAACATGGAAAGCCCACTCTTCTCATTATTAGTTTGAGTAAATGTAGTGTGTAAAAGCTACATAAGAGCATTTAATACTCAGAAAGCAGTCAAACAAATAGAAATCTGGGTTTGACTACAGTTTTATATACATTATAGGAAAGGGCCGCCTGCCCAGCCCAGTGGCAGAATGTAATAACTTCCCAATAATGTAGTAGCCTTGAGAAATGCAATAATATTTTACACAAAACTTGGTCAAGAAATGATAAAATCTAGTAATGTAATAACTTGCCCAATAATGTGGGTAAGGTATTACATTACTGGGTTTTATTACATTTTTTACCAAGTTAAGTGCAGATCTGTATTAAATTTTTGGGGTTATTACTTTATTGAGATATTATTACAAAATTGGGTACACGGGCCATGATCAATAACGACGATCAACGATCAATAACCAACTTCTGTATAATAATAAATAATGTGCCATATTTCTCATTTCTCATACATCCCAAATGGAAAATTAATGAAGAGAATAAAATGCTTTTTAGAAAATATTAAACATTAAAAGACATTTCTGCACTGTTCATGCACTTCCTAAATGACCGCACCGATTACTAGCGTAGCATTTTAAACACGGCTAATGTTCATTAACCAAATCAGCGGTTTACACATGTTTTGGATAAAATGCAGGAAAGGGGTCCATGACTACCCCCCGACTCACTTTCAGAGCGCTGAAAGATCCGATGTGTAGTCTGTTTCTGTTGCAGACTTAATGCTATATTGCTAACTCTGCTGTTAGCATGTTTGAGACTAAGAGTTAGCTACATTAGCATGTGCTATGGCTAACTAACACATGGACAAACATGACATCGCAAATCTATTTTGCCAGACATTCTGCAGTGCTGTCAGCTAATAATCATATAATGTTCATAGCGCTGCTGTCAGAAGAAAACCTCGTAGAACCTGCAGTCCTTTATATTATGGGTAAATTTCATGATGAATGGACCAAAAGAAACGACCCAAAATGACCTGGAAAAAATTCTGGTTCCGTTGACTTACATTAAAAGTAAAGTAGGTTTTTTCCCCCTCCTGTAAAGTTACCATTTTGGAGATACGAGGTTTTCTTCCGACAACAGCGACATACAAAAAAGTAGCGATTAACTTAATGTTCAAAAGATGCCTCGTCAAAGTTATTGGGGAAAAAATGCTGCTACAGATCAGTGCGTGTGCCATCAGCCACTATCCCCCATCACTCAGCGCAATGCTAGCCAACATGGGTTGGTGTCAGCCGTTAGCGTTAGCAGTTAGCATTCTCCTCCAAGCCTGTTGAGCTTCAATGACATTGCATTAGCATATGTCTGACTCTGCACTGCACCGCTCTGCACGCTAGCTCTACTTACAGAAATTCAAACTCTTCATTTTCTTCCTGATTTAGCGTCGCAACAAACGAAAACCAAAGACAATACTTTTCGCTCAACTTTGTAGACAAGAATTAAGCTAAATTCAGCTTCTTATTTAAATTTTCCGTTCCACCTTAAGTGGTGCTGCAGTTACATTCTGGCAACTGCACAAATGCTGCATCGCTTAAGGTGGAATGGAAATTTTGAAGAAGAAGTCAACTTCAGCCTCATGAAAAGGGGAACAAGAAGAACGTCCAGCTGCTCCTGAACAAAAACTTTAAATCTGAATAACTGCTAAATAAAGGTTCATTTTCAAAGAGTTATGACCTTAGTTATAACGTTTCCCCTCGTCGTGTAGTTCGCTCCATCTCCCTTCAGCGTATCTGATGGTAAGATGTGATAAAACATTAGTCAGCAGTAGGGCTGTAAGAAAATATCGATACACTTGAGTATCGCAATATTATATCTTGTGATACTGTATCGATTATCAAAAACATAGAATTGATTTTAAATAAGTTTACATACAAAAATTTGTGGCAGAAATTGGGTCATTTTGTGTCGTGTTTAAACCCCCCGATCACTAGATGGCAGTGTTGTATCTATCTTCAGCCATTAGGCTTTTTCTTTTACTTAGATTTTATGCATATGGTGGTGTGTTTTTCATGCTATGACAATTTTCCTAAAATTACATTAAAAAATCACAATATATCACCTTCCACTGCCACCTTAAATCTTATGCCACCTTAAATTCACTACCACCTTAAATTTATTTTACCTTAAATCCACTGCCATCTTAAATTCAATGCCACCTTAAATTTACTGAAACCTAAAATCCACTACCACCTTAAACTTACTGATACCTTAAATCCACTGCCCCTTAAATTCACTTCTACCTTAAATTCACTGTCACCTTAAATCCATTGCTACCTTAAATACACAGCCCTAGTCAGCAGTCAAGCTACCTGATCTTTCTAGCTGTAATCGACGAATTTACGTCCTATCACTGTAATTCGTAGCTACTTAAAAAACTGGGTAAACTACGTTTAGGACAATTTAATCTCTGCTGTATCCCTTTATCACCGGCTTTGGTGCCATCTTGTTTAAGTGAAAAGACTCCAGAAAATCCGGAGAATCGCCTGTCCTTTTTTCCCCAACACCATCAAAATTATTTTGCATGTCCAGGAGTTTTTCTGCCAGCCTTTAACTCCTGCTGTCATAATGGCACAATCAATAGCTAAAGCTATCAGCGACAATTTACTCCTGTCACACTGAACCTATCAGTAAAAAAATCGGTAAACAGACGTCTCTCTACAAAGCCTGCCTGTAATAGCATACACAATAATAATATTTAGGCTACTACACTAAATATTGCAGGGAAGCGTCTCAGGGAAGGACACAGCCTGAGGGGGTTCAGGGGTCGTCCAGGGTCTGTCTGTGGCGCTGGGGCTGCCCACTGCCACGGCCTCGTAGGGGGGCGCCTCCTCCAGGGGTAGCGGAGAGGGAGAGATGGACGCGATTGACCAATCTCTGAAGTCCCACTGTCTGATCGGATAAGCTGAAGCATCTGACGAGAGCGCCATCTGCAGCTCGTAGAAGGGAGGGGAGGGCGTTCGATCCCACCGGCATGGGTCGGTGAGGGAGTACGGCGGAGGAGCCTCTGTGGGGTCGTACGTCGGAGGGGTGTTCTGTTCCACGCACTCGTCATATCTGAAACAGAGCGAGAGACGATATTATTTAGACTCCGTTCAGTAGCTAATGTTAGCATATGATTACTACTACAGAGTATTAAAGGACCCAAACGCTGCATTTTTATAACCTCTCTGTCATAATTCAGCTCTACATGAACATTTTCCAGCATCTGTTTATCCATTAGAGTTCAACAGGCTGTTTTTGTTACTGTGACTTTATATGTAAATGAGCTCTGTTCTGATTGGCTGCCCTGTGTTGCGCATCATTCAAAAAGCAGTCTGGGCTTAATCTCTCACTCTCTCTCTCTCTCTCCCTCCCTCTCTCTCCCCCATCTGTGTCTCACACATACTCTCTCTCTCTTTCAGTCTCTCTCTCTCCCCCCCATGTCTCTCTGTCTCTCTCTCTACGTCTCTCTCAATCTCTCTTTCTCCCTCTCTCTCTCCCCCTCTCTTTCTCCCTCTCTTTCTCTTTCTCTCTCTCTCTCTCTCTCTCTCTCTCTCTCTCTCTCTCTCAGTAAAGTCAGAGGCAGGTATTGTTCTTGGCCTGACCGATAAAATATTGATCAGGAAGGAAGAACCGCTTCACTTTTTTTGTGATCAATTTTTAATTAGGTTTTGGAACACCTTGGTCCTGCCGGTTATCTTTCTGGGAAAGAAGTCACTCAAAGTGAAAGTAAAATGTTCAGAATTACAAAAATTATTCTCAGTATTTTCAGCTTCTCATTGGCGCAACTCACATTCATATATATATATATGGAACAGTTTTCTAATTAGTCATTATTATTTGTTATTTGTTTATATTTGTTATTATTGTGACTGAATGCATCACATTACCTCAGACTAGATTAGGTCACTAAAGAACAGTTTGTTTCAGATATTGTACTTTCATATTGTTGTATAATGGTCTAATAAATGGAAAACAGAAAATTAACATATTAATATGAATATTTTGCCATATCAAAAATGGATCAAATCGAATTCTGAATTTTATGAACTGTTACAACCCTACTAGCTACACATAATACAGTCAAAACATGGCAGCAAAATACCTTTACTACAACACCTTTACATTATCTTAGAGTGAGCTAACTCGTAGCCTCTGAAGGTTGCTAACACTGGTTGAAAACGCTCAACATGCTGTCTGTTTTATGGAGAAAGACCCACCCTTCAATAAAAAGAGCCAATCAGCTTGCTGGTTATGCACTAGTGGGGAAAGCCCCTCCTTGTTGTGGAGATCTGCAGCACCGCAGTAGCCAGAACAACCCAAAAAATCACGTTTTTTGAGTGTTACTGAGCCAAACGCTACAAAGTATTCATGAGAATTTTCTTACACTTTATCAGTGATTTCAAATCCGTAATTTGAAATCACTGATAAACAGTAATCTGACCCTCAGTTTTGAGTATTTTGGTCTCTCCCCGTTCAGAGAGAGAGGAGTCTGGTCTTGTATGGCTGGAAATAACTGCCCGGCGGTGATGCAAAGACGCCCACCGAGTGAACAGACTTACTACATGGACTTTGCAACAGCCTCGTTCCCAGCAGGTCCTCTCGGCCTCCTCCTTTCAAACAAGCTTTACTTTTCACGTTACATGCAAAGATTTTTGCCAATCTGATTGATCTGAAGGTGTTTATGCTCACTCTACTCAACAATCTGATGGAAAATCTTCGTTTACATGCTCACTACAAGTAATCTGATGCAAAATGACGCGCATGCTTAAACGTTACCATGACAGCAAACATCACGTGAGGTCCAGTCCGAGTGAGATGAGTTTCCAGTTGTTACGCTTGAGTTTTTAACTGCTTTAAAATGATGTCAGACTCAGGAAAACGTCCTTCACATGTCCTTATTAAAGAAGGCCGAGAGGAAGACGTCGCGTTCTGAGACACATAAGCTGGACGTCCGTCCCACCGCCGTCTTTTAAAGATCAGAGCAGAAACTTCGTCTCCTCTGCAGACCAGTTTCTGCTCCGCCATGTTGAACGGTATAAACTTTCACTATGACGCGACGAACATGATCAGAACGGACTTAAACTTTCCGATAGGGAATGTAATCAGATACAGGCGTTTACACGGTTATTATTCTTCTATTTAACGGATTATTTACAGGATTCCCCACCTCGATCAATCAGATAGAAACTGTACTCAGAATGGCCTAAATCCGATGGGGTGTTTACATGGACGTATTCCCATTGAGCTATTAGTCGGATTGTTAACAGATTATTAGGCTGCATGTAAACGTGGCTAATGTCGTTCTAAGCCAGAGCTGGGAGAATATTTATCATTATCGTGATAAATTGCATCCCAATCTGCTTTTCTGAGCATATCATGGATATCATCAGTACTTAAAACAACACAACATCCCAAAGACAGCATAATAGCTGTGTTAATTCGGGTTTAGTGCAGCCCGGTGTGTAAAATGATGAATCCAAATAACTAAATTAATAGTTTTGACAGTATTTTAAACATGTTGGCTTACTTAGTCTGTTCTAACCTATCAGATGTTAGAAAAAATAAATATCATGACAGATGAAAAAACTCCCTGAAGTATCGTGAAATGATCTTTTGCTGTATCGCCCACCGCTACACTAAGCTGTGTCACTGAAAGCTATGCCCAACTATTAGCACATGCAGTTTCAACACAGCCTGTGTCCAGTCCCTGCTAGAGAAACCAGCATAGACCAGCATGGCCGGTCACCCGCAAAACCAGCACATGTTGTGTTTAGATGCTGGTATGCTGGTCAACCAGCATGACCATGCTGGGGTGGCCAGCATTGACCAGTTTAGTCCAGGTTTTCAGGTGGGCTGCACATGTGAATTGATTTTATTAAATTAGAAAACTGGTCTCAAGCTTTGGTACAGATTTTAATTATTCTATTTTAGTTTCTTTTCATCTTTATTGTTCATTTTGGATTTTTCAGTGCACGCAACAGACATTCAGGGTCATCTTCGTACCACCTGAGGGCGCTACGTGTACTACACTTTGATAACTATTCTGGAACATACAGTGGGCTGCTCTTAATGGCGTTTATAGAGACTCACTCTCACTGGGCTCATTTCACTCTCTAATCTGAAACCTTTGTTGGCTGTAATCAGTCTGAGTGGCTGCTGTTACTGTGGAGCCCCGACTGAGCCTCATTAATACGCAATGACTGTTTTCATCAATAACATGGAGCTGAACACTTGCAAGTAGGAAGAATCACTCCAGAGTCTCGAGAGATTGTGAGTGTCATTAAGACAGAGGGATATTTAAAGCGGCAATTTGGTGGAAAAATCAAAAAAGGCTTAATTTCTCCCTCTTAACTCAAATGTAGCCAATCAGCTGAGCCTTGTTTTTATTGAATATTTTATTTTGCTTGGACACACATAGGGGAGTGCTGGGAACAGCCTAACGGGAGGCACAATTTAACATAGACCTTATATGTTGTTATAGAAGGTCAAGCAGTGTGAGCTTCTGGCCACATTACCACATTTCCTAGCCGCAGCCTCCCACCAAAATTCAGAGATATGGGTCAGTGTTTTAAAGAGATCTGAGCCAAAGAGTGTTTTCAGGGCATGTAGGTTTTTCGGTCACTGAGCTGTTTGTGTAAAATCACAGAATCCAACCTCATATCACTTTAATCTCCATCTTGTTTTCTACAGCGCAGCACCGTTTAGAAGCAGCTGGGCTTCAGTCCAGCCTCCGCACTGCGGGGTTAGTTCTTACACAGCGTTACAGCTCAGACTCCTTCAGTACACAAAGACTGATAAAGCACATTCAGTCTTTCAGTTCCAGTTTACACAGATTTTAAACTGAAAAACAGAAACATCTGAAATCAGGGATTTTCTGCTTTATTAGTGTCTTTCAGACGTCAGTATTCTGGTTTAAGGCAGATCAAGAGTCAGACCGAGAGTCAGGCTGAGAGTCAGGCTGAGAATCAGAGCAAGATTCAGAGTCAGGCCGAGAGTCAGAGCAAGAGTCAGAGCAGGATTCAGAGTCAGACGAAGAGTCAGACCGAGAATCAGACTGAGAGTCAGACCGAGAGTCAGAGCAGGGTTCAGAGTCAGGCTGAGAGTCAGAGCAAGAGTCAGAATCAGAGCAAGATTAAGAGTCAGACCGAGAGTCAGAGTGAGAGTCAGACCAAGAGTCAGACCAAGAGTGAGACTGCGAGTCAGACCGAGAGTCAGAGCAAGAGTCAGAGCAGGATTCAGAGTCAGACCGAGAGTCAGAGCAAGAGTCAGAATCAGAGCGAGATTAAGAGTCAGACCGAGAGTCAGAATCAGAGTGAGATTCAGAGTGAGATTAAGAGTCACACCAAGAGTCAGACCGAGAGTCAGACTGAGAGTCACAGTGAGATTCAGAGTCAGAACGAGAGTCAGACCAAGAGTCAGAGCAAGAGTCAGAATCAGAGCGAGATTAAGAGTCAGAACGAGAGTCAGAGTGAGAGTCAGACCAAGAGTGAGACTGCGAGTCAGACCGAGAGTCAGAGCAAGAGTCAGAGCAGGATTCAGAGTCAGACTGAGAGTCAGAGCAAGAGTCAGAATCAGAGCGAGATTAAGAGTCAGACCGAGAGTCAGAGTGAGAGTGAGAATCAGAGTGAGATTCAGAGTGAGATTAAGAGTCACACCAAGAGTCAGACCGAGAGTCAGACTGAGAGTCACAGTGAGATTCAGAGTCAGAACGAGAGTCAGACTGAGAGTCAGACCGAGAGTCAGAGCAAGAGTCAGAATCAGAGCGAGATTAAGAGTCAGACCGAGAGTCAGAGTGAGAGTCAGACCAAGAGTGAGACCAAGAGTGAGACTGCGAGTCAGACCGAGAGTCAGAGCAAGAGTCAGAGCAGGATTCAGAGTCAGACCGAGAGTCAGAGCAAGAGTCAGAATCAGAGCGAGATTAAGAGTCAGACCGAGAGTCAGAGTGAGAGTCAGAATCAGAGTGAGATTCAGAGCGAGATTAAGAGTCACACCAAGAGTCAGAACCAGAGTCAGACTGAGAGTCACAGTGAGATTCAGTCAGAACAAGAGTCAGACCAAGAGTCAGAGTGAGA